CACCAATATGCATTCGGCGATCCACGCGCTCCTCAATAAACAACCACAACCGCAGCAACCGCAGCAACCGCAACAACAGCAACAACAACAACAACAGCGAAAACCACAACAACCGCAAGGACAGAGAATGCCCCCTCCAGCGGTCCCACAAACAGTTCCCCAAGCAGCGCCACAGGCAGCTCCTCAGGCCCCCCCACCCGCACCCCCCCAACAAGCCCCACCCCGTGGATGGAAGGCAGGCACCTGGGCCGCCGTGGCCTCGGCACCCGGTCCTGCCCAAGGAAAATTCCAGGTTGTCGAGAGAAAGAAAAAGTCCACAAAGCCAAAAGCGGACCCCCTCTTCAAACCAGAGTACACCAAAATCAACAGGGAGATCATTGTTGAAACCACTGCCCCATCCGATGTCAACCCCTCCGAGATCAGGACCCTCGTCAATGCAAGAATCCAAGACGAGTCCTGCCACTTCATCTCAGCAAGAAGAACACCCAAGGACAACTTCATCTTGGAAACAAAATTCGTTACCCCTGCAACAAAGGCAATGGAATATGCCAAAGAAATTGAGGAGGCCCTCCTCACCCTACAGGTACCGGTCGCTGGCATCCGCGCTAACTCTAAATGGTCAAAGTTTCTCCTCCATGGAATCCCCACAACGGTCGGGGAGGGCATCGAGGCGGGACAATTGGTAGCATCAGAAATCAGAAGCAACTATGGAGAGAACTTCCAACTTGCCCAGGTTCCCCGCTGGATCTCCAGAGCAGAGACTCGAATGGAGAAAACCCACTCGTCAATGGTCATCGCGCTCCCAGGACAAATTACAATGGAAACACTAGGAGTTAAATTCCTATCCCTCTTCAACCGAAACTGCCACATCGAGGCTTTCCTCCCAACCTTCCCGGATATCCAGTGTGCGAAGTGCCTCGAATACGGCCACCGCCAGGAGAAATGTAAGAACAATGGGAAATGCGGCCACTGCGCCGGAGATCACCTCACCAGTTTCCACCCATGTAATGAATGCCAGGGAGGATATAGATGCACCCATACTCCAATCAGATGTCTGAACTGCAAAGGAGCTCATAAGGCCTCCGACCCAGCATGCCCCGAAAGGGCCAAGCGCCGATTCCTCAACAATGGGAAGGAAAATGCCCCACCCGCTCAAGACCCACCGGTCGCACCCGTTCAAGAGTTGCTTCCAATAGTTCAAGTACCAGCTACCGCCCCGGTTGGAGCCACACCCGTTCCCGAAGACGACCAACACATGACAAATAATGCTTAAGCCTCGAACCACCGCGCTCGCACACCAACTCAATTGTGCACGGAGCGAACTTATTACCAAGGCGGCGGTAGAAGAAGCGGAAATAGACGCTAGGATTTATTTTCTATTATTACAAGAACCATGGACCTCAGCAGAGGGATACCCACCAGAATCAAATCTCTTTTATATCTTCACAGCCAGTAACACCAACACAAAATGTGCAACATATGTCCGCAAACATGCCAACCTCAAACCAAAACACCACTATACACATGATCATTTCATAGTATCGATTACGGTAGAAATCCAGAACAAGAAAACCCAAATCCTAAATATATACTCCCCAGGCCGAAGCGGCCCCTTTGCCCAAGTAGCAAGTACAATCCAAACCCTTGACAATTGCCTAGTAATGGGAGACTTCAATTGCCACCACCAAATGTGGTATGGAGTAAATTCACATGAATACAGAAACAATATTCGAGCAGACCGCGTCAATGGTGCACGGCTAAAACGATGGATAACCCGACAGAAACTGACCCTCCTGAACGAACCAGGCTTCTTTACGCATTTCCCCAGAGACAGAGGGAAAAGGCCCACAATCATCGACCTTACATTTGTAAAAGGACCAACACTCGACCACAACCTACGATGGAGCACCGAACCCTATGGAGCAGGCTCAGATCATGGGAGAACCTCCGTTCACTTACACTTGGAAAAACCACCTTTTGTACCTAGACGAATGTGGCGACAAACAGACTGGAAGCTATTGGAGAACCACATGTCAAATATTTCCATCCCTGCAGAGGCATGGGAAACCAAGGAACATACGGAACAAACTGTCGATTTCTTCCTAGAACTGGTCAGGTCAACAGTCAGCATAGTAACACCACTCTCGAAGGAGGGGGTAAGAGCCAACTCCTGGTGGTCAGATGAAATGAAACAAATGAAGGCAAGGGTAAATGCAGCAGAAAGGAAAGCGAGAAACACAAGGAAACCCAATCACGTGGAGGAACACCGGAAGGTTTGCAGGGAATGGACAGTCATGATCCGGAAAGCAAAAGCGGACCAGCGGGAAAAAATGATGAACGAGGCGAAAGGTAGTGAAGTCTGGAGAATCCTAAACGCAGGAAGGAGAAGAGACACAATCATACCAACCATACAAGGTGAAGAAACGTTTGCGGGGAAGTGTCAAGCTCTAAGAGCCCAACTTTTCCCCTCGAAACGGACGTCCCCCGACCATCCCCCCCTAAACATTAGACCCCCCTCTTTTGACCTTAGCAACACCTTCGACATAGTTACCCCCGAAGAACTCAATAAAGCAATCGACTCCTGTCCAGCGCACTCGGCGACCAGCCCGGATGGCATCCCTTATACCTTTATTAAAGCAATAGTCAGAGCAAACACAAATCTAATTCAAGACATGTTCTCCGCCATGCTCCGGCACGGTGTACACCCAGCGGAATGGAAAATAGCTAAGTGTATCCCGATCCCGAAACCCGGTAAAGCAAACTATTATGAAGCAAAAGCCTACCGGCCCATTTCCCTTCTACAATGCTTCAGCAAAATCCTGGAAAAGATAGTGGCCCAAAGACTCTGCACCGCTGGAGAAATCCTAAGTACACTCTCAGCGAACCAATTTGGAAAAAGACCAACCATCTCGGCAATAGATGCCCTCCTGAAGACCTTAACACCAATACAACAAAACCTACTTCTGAAAAACAGTACCGGAATCGCCCGGCGAGACAGACCAGCGATCCTAACCAACGACATCCAAGGAGCATTTAATTGTGTCGACCACCTACTCCTCGTGGAAATCATGCACCAACAAAAATTCCCCACCTATCTGACAGAATGGTGCAAGGAATTCAACACCGGCAGAAAACTACAGTTCCAATTTAACCATGAGCTAGAGGAACCACAGCCCTATGACTCTGGAGTGCCGCAAGGTAGCCCCATGTCCCCGGTACTATTTATGATCTATGCCGGAGTAATACTGGACCCAACTAGCAGCCCAAAAGAGATGGACACAACTTATATCGATGACGATGCGCTGGTGCAAATATCTAAAACACCAGGCTTTACAATCAAGAGAATGGAGGAACGAATGAGAGAAAGACTAATTAAAGCTGAGCCACTCCAAATCAAATACGACCCGGATAAATCAGATCTGATCTTCTTCCGGCCCACTACATCATCCACACAACAACCACGTCTTCCGGTTAAAGTTAACAACATCAACATATACCCCAAGGAGAGGCTGAAATACGTAGGAGTCTGGATAGATCCGACCCTCTCCTTCCGGCCCCACATCGAAGCAGCGATTGCAAAAGGCCTTAAAGCCCTCCACCAGATTCGAAACACCGCCCACCTGCCAGGCATAACAGTTAAAACAATCCACCACCTCATAACACAAGGCTTCCTTCCAAGTCTGCTATATGGGTCCGAGGCTTGGTGGACTGGCGCAGACCACATCATTAGATCCCTCGAACCACTATATAATGAAGCGGCCCGGGTCATCACTGGCCTACCACGATGGACCAAGAGAGCTAAACTCCTTCGAGAAGCAGGCCTACCCCCTCTAGAACATCTCCTCACTTACCGCTCAAGGAAGTACGGAACCAGAATACTCTGCACCGATGCAACCCACCCCAACAACGAATCCCTGATCGAGCTCCTCCCATACAGAGAAGCAAATATCAAAGGGACAGGCCTACACCGAATCGCCTCCCTCCTACTCCCATATCAAACTCCCGGAAATGCGAGAGACAAGTGGAATCAAAATAAACTACTACGCGACCACCTGTTGGAAGAATGGAATATTCAACCAATACCGAACTACCATCACCGGGGGGAATTCCGCCCCCCTCCTAAGATTGCAAAACTCACCCTTACGGAAGCAAAAAAAGTTTTTCGAATCCGGTGTCAAACTACCCGAATCGACAAACATGCAGTACATACAGATCCCGAACCATGCCAGTGTGGTATGGAAAACTCAGCAAAACATATACTTATGGAATGTCCAGCGTGGGCTCGAATCCGCGCCCCTCTGACAGAGAAGATCCCCGGAGCGATGACCTGGGAAAACTGGATGTTTACAAACTTGAGAACGGATCTCATCCTACAATTTGCAAAAAACTCTCAACTCTCGAAATGGTACGAGTCGGCGGAGGCGGAGGCGGACCTGGAAGAGGGGATGGAAGAAAATGATTAGGGACGGGATCAGGAAGGGTAGTTTCCTTTTACCTTTAAAAATTTTCGGTTTTATTTTCTATTTTGATGGATCCAGCGCTCGAGTCCGCTGAGATATGTTATTTCTCCTTGTCGTTGGGTTTTCTGGTTGAGTGTTGTTCTGGAATTTCCCGGTTATTGTTCGTGTTTGTTTGTGTTTGCTTTGTTCTTGTTCTTGTTTGTTTGCGTTTGTGTTTGTTGTTTTTTCTTTTGTTCGGTTTGTGTTTTAGGCGGTCGGGTCGGCGTGCGATAAGTCTTGTACTTCAAAGCAATATAAGTTTCTTCTTCTTCTTCTTCTGTATTTATTCCACGAATACTACTTTTGTTCTACGCTACGTCATAGGGCTCATCTTGGATCTCAGATCAGGATTGAACCGCCTCATAGTCCATAGTTACGAACACCTTCTACTACATTCTTGCCTCGGTTGTATTCCTTGGCACTATAGTCCATCGTTCATAGACCCACGTTATACGTAGGTTGCGTCCCCTATCGCCAACCAATACAACACCATAGTTTACAATGTCGGGACACGCTACTATTGATTATCAACAGCTCAGCAACAGCCTCCGAACCTTTTTTCAAGAACATCCACAGGTCAATGATGTTATCGGAGCCGAAGCCTATGCACTTCTCCAACAGTGTCAACATGGTCTTGCTCAGTATGCAACGGATTTACAAGAGATAGAAGCGGAGGCTGAAAGGGCGAGAAGAATGTTTGAACGAGATCTTGCTGCTGCCCGAGCCCAACAAACTGCTGTCCAAGCTGTTGCCCCTGAGGGAGCACCTGTCGGAGACAATGCTCCACCTGCACCCCCAGTACCACTCACTACAGATACTACCTATCGGTCAGAAAAGCTTCCGGATCCTGAGGTGTTCAGGGGGGATCGTGATCGAGAAAGACTACACCTATTCAAGCAACAAATGAAAATCAAGCTATTGGGAAATGCCGATCGCTACCCCACCCTACAGTCGAAATTATCCTATGCATTCAGTAGATTGGAAGGCGTTGCTGCCAATCAGTTCTTACAGTATGTCGGGAAAGGAGAGATTACCTTGCCCTCTATGAGACGATTTTATGAGATATTGGACACTGCTTTTGGGGACCCCGATCGGATGCGTACGGCTAGGAGGAACCTTCGGAACATCCGCCAATGAAATCGAACGTTCGCCGACTATTTCGCTGAGTTTCAACGGTATGCTGCTGAGTCGGGTATGGACGAAGCCTCTCGGATCGAGGCTTTGATGGAAGGTATTAATGGGGAACTCGATGAATCAATGATACACCATGACACTCCTGCGACGGTAGATGCCTGTGCGACACTCTTACAACGGTTGGATAATCTTCGTCGTGCGGCGGAGGCTAAACGAGGAAATAAAAAGCCTTGGAGTGTTACTACTACCCCGGCTCCTCGTCCCCCACCAGCAAATCCTGTTCCTGCTCCCCGTGCTGCCGCCCCAGCCACTAATGTACCTGCTACGGAAAGTCATCCCTCGTCCCGTCCGGGAGGTGATGTACCAATGGATCTGTCTGGAGGACGTCGTCGCTCCTCTCCTGCCGAAAGAAATGCCCGCTTAGTTGAGGGCCGATGTTTCTATTGCGGAGGTGTTGGGCATATGGTTAGGGATTGCCCCCAAGCGAGGGCAAGTGGAAATCAACCAAGAAGACCTGTGATGAGGGGAGCAGCATTGACGGTGGAGGAAAATGATGGAAGTGATAATGAGTCGGCAAAAGATTTGTCCCTGCACTAAGTGGCTTAGCACAGGGACCGTTTAGGGATTTTTCTAGGATGTGTATTTCTGGTTTTTCGGTATCAGAGGAGGAAATGGATGGAAATCAACTTGTAGTAACTTGTTCGATTTCACAAAATAAAAATTCTTTCATCCCCACCTACGCTCTTATTGATACCGGAGCATCAGGATACGCTTTCATTGATGAATCTTTTGTACGCCACAATAATCTTACAATGACCCCCCTCAAAATACCTCGCCATGTGGACGTTATAGACGGAAGACCTATTAAATCAGGGAAAATTACCCATATTGTCGATGTCTCGCTGGACATTCATGGTCATAAAGAGACTGCGCCATGTTTTGTAACAAAGTTAGGACATTATCCGATTGTGATGGGGATACCTTGGATGCGACGTCATGACGTTACGATTCGACCAAAGGAAAACCTACTTATTTTTGATTCTCGAAGCTGTTGTCAACACTGTTCACTTGATGGGACTACAGTTATTGTTCATGGCATCTCAATTCCTTTACCGGAACACCATACAGTTATCGTTTCAGCAACCGAGAAATCTACCATTGACATTAAACAACTAGTACCAAAGGAATTTTACCGTCATCTCCATATGTTCGAAGAATATGACGCTTCAATTCTTCCACCACATCGACCATCCCATGATATCGAAATAGTATTAGAAGAAGGCAAACGACCACCATATGGACCTATATATGGGTTGTCTCAAATCGAGTTGAAAGCACTACGGGAATATCTTGACGAAAATTTACCTAAAGGATTTATTCGGGCTAGTGAGTCACCAGCGGGAGCACCTATATTGTTTGTAAAGAAAGACGATGGAACCCTTCGACTTTGTGTTGATTATCGAGGTCTAAATGCAATTACAATCAAGAATCGATACCCACTACCATTGTTAAAGGAAACTCTAGCCAAGTTGTCAAGAGCACAATACTATACTAAGTTGGATTTACGCTGGGGATATAATCAAATCAGAATAGCGAAAGGGGACGAATGGAAGACGGCATTCCGGACTCGATATGGACATTTTGAATATACAGTAATGCCGTTTGGATTAGCTAACGCCCCTGCTACCTTTCAACATTGGATCAATGATCTCTTACGTCCCTACCTCGATCAATTCGTAACGGCATATTTAGACGATATCCTTATTTACTCCGAGACTCTATCGGAACATAAAGAACATATTCGAAAGGTTCTAAAGGTACTTGATGAGAATCATGTTCACCTTAAACCTGAAAAATGTGAATTTATGGTTCAAGAGACGAAATATCTTGGTTTGATTCTTACCCCGAATGGGAATAGAATGGACCCAAAGAAAGTTATCGATGTTTTGGAATGGTCTACACCGATGAATCTCCATGATGTTCAAGTATTTCTAGGATTTGCAAATTTCTATCGACGATTCATTCTAGGATATTCGAAAATTGTTGCTCCACTTACAGCCTTGACCAAGAAAAACGTTAAATTTGAATGGACGGATGATAGGGAGGAAGCATTTCAAACTTTGAAAAAGATGTTTACCACGGCACCGACACTAGTTCATTTTAATCCGGACCGAAAGATTGTGATAGAAACCGATGCGTCTGATTATGTTTCAGCAGGAATCCTATCTCAACGAGACGACGAAGGAATCCTACATCCAGTTGCTTTCTTCTCTAAGAAACATTCTCCTGCAGAGTGCAACTATGAAATCTATGATAAAGAACTTTTAGCAATCATACGATGCTTTGAAGAATGGCGACATCACCTGGAGGGAGCTCAATTCCCAATCGAAGTTTTTAGCGACCATCGAAATCTTGAATATTTTATGACAACAAAATTGTTAAATCGCCGACAAGCGCGGTGGTCCGAATTCCTTTCACGCTTCGATTTCGTTATACAATTTTGGCCAGGAAAACAAGGAGCGAAACCAGATGCATTGACTAGAAGGTCAGGTGACCTATCTAAAGAGGGGGATGAACGGTTGATGCATCAGAGTCAGGTGATTTTGAAGCGAAAAAATTTAGATATCAAGCTAAGTTTGTTCGCGGGTTCTTTGTCAAATGAATCCGCTGAAGGAGCGTTTACTGTAGAGGAGTTATTTTCAAAAGCTTACCAAGTTGATAGTTTCCCAAACAAGATCCTCGCTATGCTTCGGAACGGCGTTCGCCATTCGAATAAAATTTCACTTGCCGAATGTACGGAAGATAACAACGGTCGGCTACTTTATCGAGGCGCGCTATATGTACCAGACGACAATGACCTTCGACTAAGGCTTTTAAAAGAACATCATGATAAACCATCCGCAGGACATCCGGGTAGGGCAAAGACATTGGGACTTCTAAACCGAGAATATTATTGGCCACAAATGCGAAAGGATGTCGACCAGTACGTTAGGAATTGCAATGTATGTACTCGTAGTAAGGCACCACGCAACGCACCTTATGGAGTACTCCGTCCTATGCCGATACCTGAGGGACCGTGGATGGATATATCGATGGATTTTGTTACCGATCTTCCTGAGAGCGATGGATACAATGCAATCTTGGTTGTGGTGGATAGATTAACTAAAATGTGACATTTAATACCAACGATTAAAGAGGCAGATTCAAAGGAAGTAGCAAGGCTATATATTGATAATGTTTGGAAGCTACATGGATTACCTGATACTATTGTATCTGATCGAGGGACACAGTTCGTTGCGGAGCTTTGGAAATCGCTTTGTGATCGGTTGGAAATATCACCGAAATTCTCTACCGCATTTCATCCTCAGACAGATGGACAGACGGAAAGAATTAACGCCATAATGGAACAATACCTCCGAAGCTATGTATCTTATCAACAGGATGATTGGGCTCGATTGTTACCAATGGCCGAATTCGCGACAAACAACCATACTTCGGAAACAACAAAAGTCTCTCCTTTTTATGCTAATTCGGGAAGAAATCCAAGGATGACTTTCGGTCCTTTGGAACATGGTCGAACGACAGCGGAAGACCAAGCTAATAGCATTGCACGGGAAATGAAAGAGATAGTGGGATTCCTAAAAGACGAGATGTTCCGAGCACAAAGAATACAAGAAGAAGCCGCCAATGCGAACCGAACTCCAGCCCCTCGCTACAATTTGGGAGATAAAGTTTTCCTATCGACACGCCATATTCTAACGAAGTGACCTTCCAAGAAGATCGATTGGAAATGTATCGGACCCTATAACATTAAGCGGATTGTTAACCCCTATGCTTACGAATTGGAACTTCCTCGATCGATGAAAATACATCCATTATTTCATGTCTCATTATTGTCTCCTGAAGCAGGTAATCCTCTACCTGGACAACAACAGTCGCCACCACCTCCGGTTGAGATCGAAGGAGAGGAAGAATGGGAAGTTGAAGATATTTTGAATTCAAGGGAACGAAGAGGAAGGTTTGAGTACTTGGTACGATATACAGGATATGATGAAGCCTCCTGGCAACCATTATCAGACCTTAAACATTCACCTAACATTGTCAAACGATTCCACGAGCGTTATCCAGAGAAACCTAAGCCTACCAGGAGGTAGGCCTTAGAGAGGGGCGTGGTCTGTAACGGCAACTATGGATTTCGGTTAGGTGATGAATTGGAACGGGAAGGGGAGGTATTGCGTAGTCGGATTAGGATTTGTAATTGGAGTTTCTGTTATGTTCTTTTAGTTTCTGTTACGCGAAGGTATTAGTCATCGTTGGACTATGGTTGGATATATAAGGAGGCATTGTCTTGTGTCTTTATATGTTTTCTCTCTTTCCTTCTTTCTTTACGCAACCTCTGCATTCTACTTGCTCGCTAAGGCTCGCAAAGAACTCCCTGATATCAAACCTCGCTTTAAAAACTTCTTATTCTATTCCCCTCGGTTTACCCTGGTATACCATACCAGGTTGAGCCACTTTGTCCCCGATCGTACGGTCGCGTTTTGTTGTTCCAAGCGAAAAGAAACACCACGAAAACTGGCTTCTAGCGAAGAATTCTCCAGCCTTGACCTCCCAAAGGGAAGGAAAAGAAACCTATCCGAAACATCACTTCACGCCGCCGGAAGAACTGGACATTCAATTATGTCGCAACAAGCCTCGCTCCAATCTTTCTTTACTCAGTCTTCCCAGCAAGGGACAGCCCCCCCGCAGAACAGGAACACTCCGGTTCCTGACCCAACCCCATCCGGAGCTCAGGAACAAGAATTCTCCTCGATCTTTGCATCAGAATCCGACTACAACGACCCATACCAGCCGAGAATTGACTACCTCTACCCGAGCGTTGTCCCCCAAGACACTCACACCCAGACGGACCTGAACTATATTACCTGGGCCATCAGACATGCCACCAGCCGAATCTGCCCACCTACCGATAGGATGGAAACCCTCGAAGAGCAAACGACCACACTCCGGAGAACAGTGGATACACTGAAGCACCAAATCGAGGCGCAGACAAGCATGATCACCAGTATGCACTCGGCGATCCACCTTCTCCTTAATAAACAACCACAACCGCAACAACCGCAGCAACCACAACAACAGCAACAACAGCAACAACAGCGAAAACAACAACCGCAGGGACAGAGAATGCCCCCTCCAGCGGTCCCCCAAACAGTTCCCCAAGCAGCGCCTCAGGCAGCTCCTCAGGCCCCCCCACCCGCCCCCCAACAAGCCCCACCCCGTGGATGGAAAGCAGGCACCTGGGCCGCCGTGGCCTCGGCCCCCGGTCCTGCCCAAGGAAATTTCCAGGTTGTTGAGAGAAGAAAGAAGTCTGCAAAGCCAAAAGCGGATCCTCTCTTCAAGCCAGAATATACCAAAATCAACAGAGAAATCATTGTCGAAACCACTGCCCCATCCGACGTCAATCCCTCCGAGATCAGGACCCTAGTCAATTCAAGAATTCAGGACGAATCCTGCCACTTCATTTCAGCAAGGAGAACACCCAAGGATAACTTTATCCTGGAAACAAAGTTTGTCACCCCAGCATCGAAGGCAATGGA